AGCCTGATGTGGGGCTTGATCCCAGGACCCTGGGATCATGACCTGAGCCTAAGGCAGAGGGTTTAACCCACTGAGCCACCCAGGCGCCCCACCATGCTTTTTTATATTATGTGACTTATATATACGTTTAACCCAACATTGTCTTCTCCTGAACTCATTAGATCTACCTGATATTTAAACACTTGTAATCTGTTGGTTTGAGGTTTGATTCTCAAAGTTTTGGTGTGGCATCAGTCCTGATGAAATGCTTGAACCCAGCAGGTTGTCTTCCATGAGGGAGATGGTCTGGCTCACGCTGGTACAGTGGCAAAACTGGTTATAATTCTCCCGGTGCAGACTTGGTTGTTTATGGTAGTCCTAGTCACTTGTGGCCCAGATCCATGGATCTTGCTCCAGGGCTTGTAATGGACTTAGAGCCTATTCACATGATAAATATGGCCTTAGTTCAGCTGGCAATGATAGGAGATTGGTGATTCACTTTTAACACTCACTGGAATAGAGTTAAAGGGACTTCCCTGCAGAATGAGTGAGATTTTTGTGGTGTTTCTGCTGACGTTGTTTAAGGTTGTTTTATGGTATAAAGGTCCTGACTCTGTTCCTAGTACCTTCTGTGATCTCCTTAGTCATATGTCTGCCTTATGCAGCAGATGGAATCACTGCAACTCATTCACTTCATAGTCAGGTATCCTTATCCTACCTTATGATCTACTTTTTCAGACTGTTGTGACAAGTTTTCTACCCTTATGGAAAATTCCTCTCATGGTTAAAGCTTTCAGTAAGTGCTATGAAGCTTAATAACCCTCTTTACTGAATAGGAATAATTATGCGCTAGTTCATAAAATATACACATGGTCTCATTTAGTTATTAGAAAGGCTAGAGTACTGATTCTTGAATGTGAAAAAATTTATAGGCTAAAGAGTCATGATATTGAACAGTTCTTTTGTTTCTAAAGCTCTTTGGAGATGGAGTAACAAATCAGTGAATATTCAAAGCAATGATTATAAAAATCATTTGATTTTATACCAGAAAGCCTACATCTTCTTTCAAAAATAAAGCTTCCACATATGCTATGTTATCCGAAAAGGTATGTGAAAATTCCACCTCAGTCTCTCTATTGTTTTACCTAAAGTATTTAAGGTTTTCTTAACATAAATTGTCACAAGTATGTGCTTATTCTAGTTGACATTCAGCTAATCAGCATGTAAATGTGTGTGTGTGTGTGTTTGCTACCAGAATAAAAGTGGCATTTCTAAACTGCAGAATATTTTCCATGAGTATAATAGGTGGCTCTCATGCCCTCTTATTGCTAAGCAATTAAAAAATGATCAGAACATGTGCTTCTAAAAATGATCTCAGCTATCAAGTCTTTGTGTTAATATTGGCAATTTCTCCCTTCTATTTAGAATTTCGTGTCTTGTTAGAATAATTCATTATTTTCAGATCCCTTTTTTAACCTCGATGTGGCCTCTAACATAGCCCTCTAAATTAATCAGAACTCTTTTGGTTGTAGTGACAGAAATACAACTCAAGGTAGGTGAAGCTATTTGAATAGTACAAATAATGATGACAAGATATGAGTTGTCATAGCTGGAATGGTATTTGAAGACTCATAACTAAAAAGAATAACTGTAGAGGGGTGCCTGGGTGGTTCATTCAGTTGAGTGTGTGACTCTTGATATCAGCTCAAGTCTCAGTCTCATGGTCCTGAGTTTGATCCCTACATTAGAGGCTTACTGGGTGTGGGGCCTACTTGAAAAAAAAAAAAAAGAAAGAAAAGAAAAGAAAAAAGAAAAAAAGGAAAAGAAAAGAAATAACTGTAGAGACTTAACCTCATTACCTCATCATTTGTGGGGCTTTTTTTCTCCATCAGTCTCCTACCTCTTCTTGGTTTCACTCATACACAGGCTCTCTCCACCTGAAAAGGAAGATGGTGGCACAACTTCCATTGATAAGAGCTTCTTTCTCCCATTATCTATACATCTGTATAGGGAAGGATTCTGCTTAGCTCATTGGTTAGATCATGTGTTTATTCTATGGACAGATAACTATTAATAGAAAAATTAGATAATGCAAGTGGTTATTCCTGGGAATTAGAAAAAGAACCCTGCCAGACTCATGTAAAATGAGGGTGTGATGGTTTCTCAAAGGACAGGAAGCTAACCAATCACAAATACCTGTCTACACATCTAAAGCTTTTGCTGCTCCAACCTACCCCAACCTGCTCTTCCCAAACTCTTTTCTCCTCTCATTTCTTGCTTTTCCAGTGGAAAATTGATCTTTAAGTAATATTTTCAGACTCCTACTCCTTAAAAGTTAGGGTAAAGTAACAGCTTCATTATACTTAGAATTTCCATGGGCTAAATAAAGTCCATAGTGTCCTTTTTGTACTTTCAGGTAGATTATTGCTTTTAGGAAAAACTAAATGAATAAACTGAGGTGTTGTTTAATAGTATTTCATGAAACCTATGTCAGGCATGGAACTAAACAGTCAGAATTGGTGTTGATATTCATGTGCCCTGGAGGCCTCTGCTCTAACTCAAGCTTTATTTTCCTGATTGCTGGATAGTGGCAGAATCCTAGGTATTTTGGGGATTGGAACAGGTTAATAGTTGGGGATTCAGAGAAGTCCAAATCAGTAACTACTTACTAACCAACACCCAGACTGTCCTCATATTTTTACAATGATATGTAATTGCTGACCTTCCAACCTGGGTTACTTGTATGTATGTAGGATTAACAGTTACATAAGACAATTACTCTGAGTAACAGACTTTAAGAGAATTGTTTAAGACATGGACCAAAGATGATGTGCTTTTAAAATATTTACTCTGTAGCTTGTTTTCTCATTGATTTTGTTTTATTTTTGTTTTCCAACACGTATTTCAAATGGGTCGTTGAACCACTTAAAATTGTATGCAAATTTTGATGGGTAAATGACATATGCATAATTTATTTTTCTGGGAGGCCAGTTACTTTTACCAGCTTTTCAAACGGGCCCATTCTCTACACCTACACACACATACATACACACAGATGAAGTTTCAAAAATCACTGTCGTAAAGTGTTGTGTTTATAATTTCCATCAATAGGGAAGAATAAAACTTACATAAGGACTTTATATAAGACAAGTGTTAAATAACCAACTGATGGCTTCTCCCTCTGCCTGCTGCTCCCCCTGCTTCTGCTTTCTCTCACCCTGACAAATAAATAAAATCTTTAAAAAAATAACTAAATTACAATTCAAAAAAGTGTGAGAACATATATAGCACATGCCTATGGTTTCCTACTGAAGATTTCTCTCTGATGCTTACAACACCATTTTTATGCTGACTCCTGCAGTCATATTAATAATCAGATGAGGGGTTTACTTTGTTTTCATTTAGCTTAGCTCATTACCAATTCTGGTTCACATGAACCCACAGGTCAAAATTACAAGTATTCTTGTATTAGTCCTTACGAATTTTTCCAGTGGTAAGGTATGAAACAGTGCTCCATATCAAAGATAATTGGGCCTAAAGCTTGTCTGCTTTTATAGCGCAGTAACTGGAAGAGTTTCAGTTTGCAATTTATAATGAGGAAAAGTAGCCTAAATTTTAGAGGGAATGTCTAATAAGCCAGAAGTTATAAACCAAGTGGAGTCAGAGCTGTCTCTTTTACAAATGGTAAAGTCTAAACTTAGACCCTATCCAGGCCAGACTATGCCCTTAGAGTTATGAAGGATAAACAATTGTCAAGGAACAAACCCATTATTAAGACCAAAACTTAAACAATTCTAGAGGCACTTCCTTAAACAGTTCTACATAGGCATTATTGATCTTGAAATTTTTTAGGAAAAGCTATACAGTAGTAAAAAGTATTCCTGAGCCCTAGGCAGTGAGTAAGTAAGTACTATACTTAATGGGGCCAGTGATTCTATTTTGATAATTTAAGAAAGGTTCTCAGGTGTTACATCTGGTTATGAATATCTAGGAATGAATTATAGATTATTAATGAATAATGATTATTATATCTGATGACCACACTCAGGTTTTCCTATATAAATGTATTGTATTGAGTTTGTTTTAAAAGAATATGACTAAATAAGTCAGGAAACAACAAATGTTGGTGAGGATGTGGAAAAAGGGAGCCCTCTTACACTGTTGGTGGGAATGCAAGTTGGTATAGCCACTTTGGAAAACAGCATGGAGGTTCCTCAAGAAGTTAAAAATAGAGCTATCCTATGACCTAGGGAATTGCACTACTGGGTATTTACCCCAAAGATACAATCGTATTGATACGAAGGGGCACCTGTGCCCCAATGTTTATAACAGCAGTGTCTATAGTAGCCAAACTTTGGAAAGAGCCAAGATGTCCATCAATAGATGAGTGGATAAAGAAGATGTGGTATACACACACACACACACACACACACACACACACACACACACAATGGAATATTATTCAGCCATCAGAAAGGCTGGATACTTACCATTTACATTGACGTGGATGGAACTGGAGAGGATTTTATGCTGAATGAAATATGTCAATCAGAGAAAGACAATTATTGTATAGTTTTACTTATATGTGGAATATAAGAAATAGTGCAAAGGATCATAGGGGATGGAGGGAAAACTGAATGAGAAGTCATCAGAGAAGGGGAAAACCCATGAGAAATACTTAACTCTAAGAAATAAACTGAGGGTTGCTGGAGGGAAGGTGGGTGGGGAGATGGGGTAACTGGGTGATAGGGATTACGGAGGGCATGTGGTATGAGCACTGGGTGTTATAGAAGACTGATGAATCACTGAAATCATCTGAAATTAATGATGTACTATATGTTGGCTAATTTAATTTAAATTAAAAAGAATATAAAATTTCATAGTTTGACATTATTAAACTCATGATTGGCTTCTACATTTCCCTTTTGTATGTTTCTACTTTAGCCTAGTCTTTTTACCCACCTTGTTTTTTTTCATTTTTTTGTTTTTTGTTTTTTGGCGACTCAACATATCTTACCAAATGCAGCCGTAATCCTGTATTTGCTGTCCAGAATTATGCAATTTATTTGGTGTGAGGTGAGGGAGAAATTTCTTTTTAAAGGTTCTTTTTTTTTTTAAGATTTTTATTTTTATTTATTTTTTTATTTTTTAAAAATTTTTAAAATTTATTTTCAGCTTAACAGTATTCATTGTTTTTGCACCACACCCAGTGCTCCATGCAATCCGTGCCCTCTCCAATACCCACCACCTGGTTCCCCCAACCACCCACACCCCCCGCTGCTTCAGACCCCTCAGATTGTTTTTCAGAGTCCATAGTCTCTCATGGTTCACCTCCCCTTCCAATTTCCCCCAACTCCCTTCTCCTCTCTAACTCCCCTTGTCCTCCATGCTATTTGTTAGGCTCCACAAATAAGTGAAACCATATGATAATTGACTCTCTCTGCTTGACTTATTTCACTCAGCATAATCTCTTCCAGTCCCATCCATGGTGCTACAAAAGTTGGGTATTCATCCTTTCTGATGGAGGCATAATACTCCATAGTGTATATGGACCACATCTTCCTTATCCATTCGTCCATTGAAGGGCATCTTGGTTCTTTCCACAGTTTGCTGATTGTGGCCATTGCTGCTATAAACATTGGGGTACAGATGGCCCTTCTTTTCACTACATCTGTATCTTTGGGGTAAATACCCAGTAGTGCAATGGCAGGGTCATAGGGAAGCTCTATTTTTAATTTCTTGAGGAATCTCCACACTGTTCTCCAAAGTGGCTGCACCAACTTGCACTGTTCTCCAAAATGGCTGCACCAAATTGCATTCCCACCGACAGTGGAAGAGGGTTCCCCTTTCTCCACATCTTTTTAAAGGTTCTTGAGATGAATCCCTAACAGGTCCTTAGTTGATTCACATATTCAACAAGTATTTATTATACATCTGTATTGCAGGCATCAGCTATGTTCATTGCAGTGAGCAAGATGGACCTGGCATACATCTCCTTAAATGGAGGAGAGTGATGTGAACTAATTAGGTGAACAAATAACCATAGAGATCCATATAATTCCAAGCAAGCATGAGAACTAAAAAAGAAAAAGAAAAAGAGAAAGAAAGAAAGAAAGAAAGAAAGAAAGAAAGAAAGAAAGAAGAAAGAAAAGATCAGAGAGCTCGGAAAAGTAGTAGAAGGGGTTACCTCTGATGGAGAGAAGGGAGATATTGTAATAAACTTCTTTTAGAAGGAAATATGTTAGCAATGACTTTAAGAATGAGAAGGTGTTAGGAATTGTGGGAGAAGGAAGAGCTAAGTAGAGAAAATATGCTCAAAGTTCCACTAAGGAGCTGAAGGAAGACCAGTATGGGTTAAATGAGTGGGAGAGAACATGGCATGAAATGAAGAAAGAGAGAGCTTCTTGGAACTCCTGGTACTATTCATCAAGTATGTTGTGTTCTGCTGCTGGCCAGACAGAAGCTACTGGCTCTATTGGCTCCATTGCATCCGTGTCTAGGGACGTGATGCTAGAGCTAACCAGTGAGTTGTGAGCACATGTGATGCATATCATACTCTGATCAGTTCCTAAGTTAAGTCTAGTAGTAATACAGATCACCTCTGCATTGACTTTGGACTTCATAACCATCTTCAGAACAAAGAGGAAAAGTGTGTTGGGTGCTATATAAAGGGAAGAGGGAAATGTCTCTTTCAGAGGCAAAACTGAGAAGTAAAATTATTTTGTGTAATGTTGTAGTAGGTTCTGCTAGACTAGAGGGTGGCAGGCAGGTGAGTGGAAAGAACCCTCCTTTCACATGAAGAAGGAAGAGAAAGATGTGAAGTAGTGCCTGTGACCTTGGTGAAGTTACCCTTCTCAGACTCTCATGCTTCATAGGAATAAAGATATAAAAAATAAAGTTTTAGTCACTTCCCTGTGCACCAAGAAAATTTCCAGAGCAGCCCAAGGCCATTGATGTAGGCTGTTTATCAGTCCTGCCTGTTCAGAACTCAAGAACCTATGATCCTGTCAAGAACAAAGGTGACCCCATATATTTCAATAGGTACTAAACTCCACCTGATGTAGAGGTATGCCTGAAGCCTGCTGGGGAACATGATATAATACCTTCTCCCATTCACTTCTTTGAAAAGATTCAGCACTTCATAGTGCCCTACTAAAGTCAGACCATGGGCATTACATGGAGCTGTGGTCTTCAAACTGGGTCTGTGAATTCTGGAGTATGGGAAAGCATTGCAAAGGTTACCTAGCTGCACGTACTTTCAGGAACACCATTGCAAACTCTCAATATGTGTTCCCTTTTCTGAAACAGATCTGCCTGAGAACCAATCCAGTTCTGGATTGGAGTTACAAGTTCTCTTTTCCAATATCCCTTTTCGTAATTATCCCTCTCCCACTTGACAAAGAGACATTCACCTCTTTCCCACCACAGATTTCACTATGGTGCATTGCTATGAAAAATATCTAACACATTTCCAATAGAAATCAAAAAGACAATTTGAAATACTATCTTGGTACTGGTATTAAAAAAGTAAATTACTCTAAAGATTGAGTAACATCTTCCTGTGCAAAAAAAAAGTACATATCTGTTCTTTTAACAAAATTGAAGGAGGGCTTATTTTAAGTCTACAGCTGGTAGACATTAGAGACTGATGTTTGATATCACATCCTCAGTTTTAGGGTTTTTTTTTTTTGTTGTTGTTGTTTTTGCCATGTGTCTGGATTGTAAGGGATCTAATAATATTACCATAATGAAACTTTCCCCATTCCCCCATACCTATTCAGTTGTAGCACTTATTATAAAACTTAAATATAGGAATATAATTTGTTCTAACAGTGAAATATGTTCACCCTCAAATAAATGAGCAGATTGAGAAATTCAAGACCATTTGTCTCATTAAAAGATGAATTTCCAATGTAATTTTAGTTTTACATTAAGCAGTTATTAAACCTTATAAAATGTTTTGAATAATTATGTACTAAAGTATGTGATTATAATGATAGCTCCACTCAGGAGAGAAATTTTAATACTCAAGGCATTATGGCCACAGTACAGCTTAAAAAAATTAAATATCCATTTATATGCTTTTTTGTTGCATAGACATTTGGTAGGTGATAAAATGCATTGAAATTTAAAATGCATTATTAGTTTGATAATAATTTCTAAGTAAATAGAATGGAAATACAAGTTTAAGGGGAAATACTAACAATATTAAATTTCTGGTAGTTAATGAAGACTTTGTCCATAAATTATTTTAATGGATAATGGAGACTTAATTGCCATGACATTTTGATTTCATTGGATTCAGTTTCAGAAAATTATTTAATAGTTTTATTTTAAAATGTGAATTTTACAATGGGATAACACGTTCCTTGTAACTATTTATCTATTTATTTTGCAAATCTTTAAACTTAGGATGAAAAAAATAAATTTGACTTGAAAATATATGAGGGAATAAATAGTTTATCAAAAATATTTTAGATAATATAAAACTGAAGTTTGAAAGTTACTGGCCTTGAGGGTTTCTTCCCAGGTTTGACTTCCTATTCTAAATATCCTTAGGTAGACTGTTGCCAACTGTAGTCACAGTTAAGCCAAATTTAAATGTCAGGTATGCTAAAAATACATAGAAATTGGAAACATGAATTAGAGAGCATTAAGTGTTAGCAGGCAACAATAATCTAGAGAATTATAGCTCTGATGAGAATGATTAACCTGTGGTCTTTAGAATTTCTTGGTATTAGAATGTTGAAGGGATGTCAAAAGTGGAGTATAGATATCTGGAGGGCTGTGCACTGGTAAAGATTGGGGAGAAAGGACTTCTGACTTTCCTAGTCAGAGTGAATAAGCGTATTGGAGAAAGAGAAGAAAACAAGAGAAGAACATAACCCATTTAGAAATAAGAGATAGAGAAGAGTAGGTTAGAAGGGGAAGGAATTTTTCTTTTTAAGTTGAAAGCAATTTCCAAACAGAAAGGAAGGGGGAAAAAAGAACTAAAATCCTAATGCAAAGACAACCAAATAGGTAAAATTCATGGTAGGATGAAATATATTAGATTTAAAACAATAGATAAAAAGTTAGAGAGAAATGAGGCCAAAGGTTAGAGATAAATTTAAAGATGATAAAGTATTAAAAGAGTAGGCTTCTGTCATGAAAATAAACACACAAAGAAAATTGAAGATTAAGAAAAGAAATTTAGAACTAACAGAAGTAAAAAATAAAAATCAAACTGAAAATCTTTTAAAATTGAGTAATGAACACTTGGAGGTGAAAGGGTGATAGAAAAAGATGGCTGGGGAGCAGAGACAGAGCACGGTGACTTAGTGCTAGGTGAGCTGAGAAGGGCCCTCTGTCTCTTCTGCTAAGGCCTGGTAGCCTGCACCCCAGAGAATGGGGGAATCCTCACAAATTTAACTGTCTTTCCTTAAAGCAAATAGCTAGGGCAGAGGAGTGGCTGAGCTTGGCCGCAAGCAAGCCAGTACACTGTAATTCAACACTGTGTTGGAAAGATTATTCAGCAGGGACATCTTTGCATAGATAACACAGGTAATGGTATGACAGGGCAGCTTGGGAGAGACTGGGAAGGTGGGGCTTTGCATCACCTCCAGGATACAGGTCATTTACGTTGCCACATTGACCTGTGGTAGGATTGGTTGTCTCTGAAAGCTAACAAAGGGAAGTTTGGGGAGAAGAAAAGAGCCTGCACACAGAGTGGAGCCTTACTTCTCACTCACCCAAAAAGAAGCAGGTGTGTGCTCTCCAGCTTCTGATGTCCTAACCGAAGACAGGGTCTCTCATCACTGTGCCCATCAGTGTGGCCCTGCAGTAAATGAGAATCTGAATCCCAGCCCAGGCTAGCACTCAGTGTCCCAAGAGTGCGTACTGCCCAGCAAGGCAGGGGGAAACCCTTAGGGTAGATTGCCAAGTGTGTGCAGAAAAAAGGGGCACTTAGGTGAAGGAGACTGATGGCATGTTCATCATTCTCAAATTTTTTTTTTTTTTTTTTTTTTTTTTTTTTTTACAGCCGATGTCTCTTCTAGTGGCCCTGAGCCATTCTCAGCTTCCAGTAGCTTGAGCCACATCATTTCTCCAAGCACAGTGTTTCTCCCATGCTCCCATACCTAGATCTGCTCTGGCAATGGGAGTTCTCTTCCCCTGGGCCCTGTAGGTGCTGCTGTATCACAGACCATTGAGACTATTGTCTTGTCCTACTCAGGTCTCTTATCTAAAATGTTCAGTAGTGATGAATAAATTTCAGCAAAAGCATGGATATGCATATGAAATAACCTAAAAGCTTGAATCACTTGCTTTAAAAATGGACTCCAGCGGTGTCAAGCAATTTGATTCTGCTTTTAGTGAGTGTTTCTTAAATGGGCTACCTGACAGTAATTTGTCAGATTCTTTCTAGGCCTTTTCTCAGAGGTATCAGCCTTGTGAGCATCATGTCACTTAGCATGTTTTCCTGGCAGTTTTTTATTCCTGGGAAGATCATTTTACATTAAAATATATATATATTTCTAGAAGCAGAGCAATGTCTGACAAACCTAAACATTTATGGAAGTTAAAATAAGAATGTGGGCTTTTTAAGTAGCATGTCAGAGCTTTTCCTGAAAATATCAGGCAGAAGTGTTGGACGTGGATAATAAAACAGCTTTTTCTGTAAAAACAGAATGAAGGAAAAGAAATAGAATGCTACTCTACTATATTACTATATTTCAGACAGAACTTTAAAAATTCTGTTGTGCTAAACATGTTATGAAGAGCAAACATTAATGTATGTTGTAAAATGTCACTGCTTGAATATGAATGTCACTTGATCCCTCAAAACCGATAAATACAAATGAGGTCCCATTAACAGTGTTGTCTATCCTAACTGTAGTGTGCATTGCCCCACCTCCCTCTTTGTGTGACTGTAGCACCTGGGTCTCTCCTGTTCTCCCTCTTTCTCTTCCTGTTCCAGTCTCCTCACTTTATTTCTGGGAGTCTCCAGTGTTTTATATGTCCTGGAAACAGTTGTGCTCTTTGTCATTCCTCATCACAGGGGAATGGCCATCCTTTCAGGCAGGGC